AAGGTTCTATGCTAGTTTTCTATGGGCTGCTGTAACAAAGTGGCTTATAAGAATGGAAATTTAGCATCTCACACTTCTGGAATCTAGGAGTTCAAAATCAAGGAGGTTCTGAGGTAGAACCTATTCCATGCCTCTTTCCCGGCTTCTGTGACAGCCAGTGATCCTTGTCATTCCTTGGCTTATAGATGTGTCATTCCAAATCTGTGCCTCTGTCTTCCCATGGCCATCTTGCTTCTGCATTTCTGTGTCTCTTCTCCTCTTTCCTAAGGACACCACTTAATTAAATTAGACCCACCCTACTCCAGTTAATTTAACTGATAACGTCTTCAAAGGCCTTATTTCCAAATAAAATCTTATTCACAGGACCAAAGATTGGGACTTCAACATATCTTTTTGGGTGGCACAATTCAATCTATAACAAGTTTCTTCTGTCTGAAAGTTAAGTTATGTTGCCAAGACTTTGTTCATTTTGACAGTAAAAGCAACTCTCTCTAGGTATCTATTTGGGTTTGGTCCCAACAATAGCAGACACAGTATCACAGTAATTTAGGATGATGACTGCTTCCTCTCTAGTTCAATCCACATCTCTTTTGCTTTAGCTGCTCAATCGCTGGAGTGTTTGGGTTTTTTAAAATTTGAAGACATTCTCATTATTTGATTTCTCTTGTTGATTCCCCCACTTACGAATCTCTTAGAAAAATGCTGTTATACAAATGCTCAAGGTTTTCATCTTGACCTACTTGACATGGCTTAAAATCACGTGGTTTTAAAATAACTTTTTGCCCCTCCCTATGTCTGTTATTTGAATGAGTCATGTAATTTTTTTCAAAGTCATTCTTTTTTAAAAAATTTATTTTGTTGTTAAGAATATAACAGTAAAACATACACCAATCCAACTGTTTCTACATGTACAACTCAGTGACATTGATTGAATTCTTTCAGTTGTGCAACCATTCTCACCCTCCTTTTCTGAGTTGTTTCTCCTTCATTAACATAAACTCATTGTCCCCTAAGGCAGGGCTTCAGATTGTTTCAATCTGGTTCAGTCATGACCAAAACAGTGAAATCAGGACAGACTGGAATTTGCAAAATGTGGGTGCTTGGAATGACAACCAGGTTGAGAAAAATTACAGGTTGAAGCCCAGGAATGAGAGACTTGGAAGTGGGATAGTGAGCCCTTTCCGGAGTCTGCTACGGAAGATAAGATTATTGCCAGGACTGTGGAGAGCAGCATATATTCAAAGCAATGTGATTGGCACCATCTTTGAGCAGGGCACCGTTGTTTTCAACTCTACCAGGAAAGACATTTGGTTGCTATGGTACATGCATGCTGACGTTGTTTTCTATGAGGGAGATAAAGTTTCTAGCAGAGCGTTGACCCATACTTTTCCCTGTTCCAGTTATGATTCCAGCCACCCACATTTTTCAAATTCTCGTCTGTCCTGGTTTTGCTTTGTTAGCAGTCCTGAACTGGAAAGAATCTGTTCAAAGCTCTGCTCTAAGGTTGCTATCGAATCTTTTGAGTTGCTGTTGTCACTTTGATCCCATACAGATAGTTCTTAAAAGACCATAATGCTCAAGGCAGACATTTTTGTAATAGTTAGGCTAAACTATTATTTGGTTTGAAGACTTAAGTGTATATTTTTGGTTCAAAGTTTAAAGATTATCTCAGGACAATATTTTCAGGGTTCATACAGCTTCCATGAAACTGTGGAGGGGTCATGTGATTTTTGTGCTAAAATATTTTCTCTACTTTTTTTTTTTTAATTGTGTCATGATCTTTTGATTCTTTAGATGTTCTTTTTTACCAAACACTAATTATTTTATTTCTTCCTTGACTCTTAAAATGCTTTGTAATTTTTAAGTCTCTCATGGGTTTATACATATTATAGATATTTAATGAATAATTGCCGAGAGAATGAGTGGATGGATGAAATGAGTATCTAAAAGAATTGTGAAAGTATTGAACCTGTGTAGATACATGGTAGAGGAGAAAAGACTTGAATTGAAGTCAGTGTAGGGTACAGTCTTAGTTTCTCCTTTACCTAGCTGTGTGATCTGAGATGTATTTCTTAACTTCTCTGAGCTTCTGTTTCCTGCTCTATAAAATGGGAATATATGTACCTTTGTCATCAGCTTAGGAGCTCTGGTGGCACAGTGCCTAATGCATTTGACACTAACCAGAAGGTTGGCAGTTCATAGCCACCAGCCACTCTGCAGAAGAAAGTCTCGGCAATCTACTTCTGTAAAGACTTACTGCCTCAGAAACCCAAAGGGGGTTGTTATGAGTCGAAAGTGACTCGATTACAGTGAGTTTGGTTTGGGGATTTTTTTTTTTTTTTTTGGTCTTACAAGGATCTATTAAATCTCACAAGGGTCTACTACATCTCACAAGGGTCTACTACATCTCACAAGGGTCTACTTCTTGAGGCTTGGGTGAAGGTATCACTATCAGACCTCAGTTCTATTGCCCTGAGACAATTGGTTTGTTTGTTTCATATAGTTAGAGTTGTGAAACTTAAGATATTTACTTTCTGCATTGGATTCTGGAGAAGTTGGAGCTAGGTTTTCAGCCTAATTCTAATAAGATGTGTGAGGTCTTAAGCGTGTATTTTAAGTATTAAAGTTCCTCCCTGCCATCATCCCATTTCACCTTAGACTCACTTCTCTTTCTCACCAAGTTATCATTTAATTGATGTAACACTTAGGTTTGAATATATCTTTGTAACCTGGCTCAATTTTTTTTTTCCTTCCGGAACAAGGCATGGTGGAAAGGAAGGAAGGGAAAAGAATAGGGGGTGGGGAGAGGTGGGGGGAGGAGGGAGAGGAGGGGAAGGAAAGGAAGAAAATCAGAGAGCCAGAACATAGTGCCTAAGGCACTTGACTGCTAACCAGAAGGCTGGCTGTTCAAACCCACCAACTACTCCTCAGAAGGAAGGTTGGGCAATCTACTTCTGTAGTGATACCGCCTCAGAAACACAAAGAAGGGGTCATTATGGGTCTGAAACAACTCGATGGCAGTGCATTGCATTGTTGTGTTAGTACCTCTCTCTATGGGTAATTGTAATGTGTGAATGATATCATGTTTGCTTTTATAATTAGTCCTCGACAGTTTTCACCATGTTTTAGAGAACCCAATGGACTAATACCTTTTTAGAGATATAAAGCAGATAATGATAATAAGATTTTCATTAATACCAAAAATGTATTTTTAAAATCAAAATAATAATAACATATACAATTCCATGATTTTCAAATCTTGCTCCCTGGAGTTTCCACAGTGGCATAAAGTGATAAAGAGGTAGGCTAGTGGGGATGGGGTACATTTGGGTTGCTTCAACCAAAGGCTCTCCAAGTTGTTCATTTTATTGGTTCATCCTTATTTACATGTAAGGTTTTTGTTAATAAAGGGTTGCCTGGGGGTAAAAAGTTTGAAACCACTGAAATATGTAAGTGGCAAGATAGTAAATTGGGGGAAACTGGACATGGAATTGCAAAACAGAATGTAATGCAATTTGACTTATGGGTTTAACTGTTAAAACTGTTCACTTTTTTATGTGGTTTTTGGTTGCCAGTGAGAACAAATATACGGCACTGTAGAATGAAGTGAAAATATAGAAAAGGAAGTAGATTCAAACAGTATCCTGTTATAATTTAAAGTATTTTTAGAAATTGTAATTTCACTATTATACTTTTTCTAAAGTATAGTTATGTTTAGAAAATACTGCATCATCTAGGCTTCTCTCCCTCCACCCCTCCCATCCTCTCCCCAGCAGGAAATCTAGCAAGTTTCAGTGGAACTCCTATTTGAAACATTCTGGTGTAGGTTAGGTGTTCGGGTGGTGCAGTGGTTAAAACATTTGGTTGGTTCGAACCCACCAGCTGCTCCATGGGAAAAAACATGAGGCAGTCTGCTTCTGTAGATTTAAAGCCTTGGAAACCCTATGAGGAAGTTTTACTCTATCCTATAATGTCACTAGGAGTTGTAATCCACTTGATGGCAGAGGGTGGGACAGGTGCTGTAGAGTAGCTAGGAGCATGGAGAATATAATCCATCTTCTGTTTCATTCTCTTCCTACTCGCTAGAGAGCAGCAATAACGCAATGGGAAAGGGAAATTGCTCAAGCAATCTCTTAAGACTGTACCCTGAGCACACCAAAAAGTCCCTCAGTTTCCCTTCCTCCTTCTCTAAGTATTTAGATGACTTGGATAAATCCCTTTGAAGTTATAAAATTTATTCATTGGCTTGGCAAAATGTTAATTTTTTAAATGAACATTAAAGATATCTCTCTAAAAATACCCTTAATGTAAAAATTGAAGTGTTTTAGTTAGCTGTTTTGGTACAGTATACTACTCCAAAACATCATAATTTAAAACAATCATTTTGTCATCTCTTATGATGCTCTTTGTTGACTGGGTAGAGCTGAGTGATTCCTGTGCTCCACATGATGTTGACTAGCTGTGGTCCCCTGGGAGTTCCATTGGACTGGAAAGTCTACAGTGGTCCACTCAATTGGCTGGCAGTTGGTATTGTCTGTCATCTGGGAGCTCCGCAGGCATTATGAACCAGAGCACCCGGTTCTCCTTCATGGTCTCTTCATCTGGCTTGGGTGTCTCACAACGTGACAGATGGGTTCCAAGAGGGAGCATTCCACAAGGAAAGAGCAGAAGTTTCTAATCCCACACCTCACTTACAACATCTTCTAACAGTGAAATCAGTCAGCGAATCAGTCCAGCTTCAAGGGGTGGGAAGTAAGCTACACCTCTTGATGTGAGGAGAAGTGTGTGCATACAAGTGGGGGAGGAATTGTTGAGGACCATCTTTGGAGAACATAAGATGGAAGGTAAAGAAAGTGCTGTTTCTTGGTTTTGGAAAGATACACATCATGGGGGATACAGAGAAGTCTTTCTTCATTGAGTAAACAGCAATTGCTTCTTTATGTGGTACTTTTAAGAATAAAGACACCCAAAAGTCATTCCTTGTGTCACTCTCTCCCCAGATCTGTTACCTAAAGCAATAAAAAAAAAAATAAAAAAAAAAATGGCCAGAGGATCAGTGTCTGATGAAGAAATGATGGAGCTCCAAGAAGCTTTTGCCAAAGTTGGTAAGTAGAGCTGCTATCTCAAGTCATGTAATTCTCTTCTTTATTGAGTAGCTTCAGGACAGCCTCAATGAAATGGTAACATGAACAAAACAGTGGAAGCACCAGGAATCCAGTAGTATTAGCCAGAGGTGATAGAGGGACTTAGTTGAAAGACATGGTTTAAGAAAATTACTTCTTTTCCTGTCAAATAATGGGACCTTTCCAACATGTAGCTCTTTCCCAAAAACGGGCTCTAATTCTCATCTTTTGTATCTTTTCTGGTTTCTTTGGGTTCCTTTGTTTTTCTACTATTATATACAATCTTTTACTCCTTTTCTGTAAACTTGTGATTTATTTTCCCTTCTGTTTTTATAATGGTTCCTTCACATTCTGTTGCCCAAATTTCTGTTTTGAAATGATGGCTCATTTACTCTGGACGTTGGAAGTGATACAAATGCCCACATCCAATAGCAGCAGGCCTCTTCTGAGACCCTGACTCTTTCATGGAGTCAAGCCATGTCCCCTACACATAATTCCCTCTCTTACCTCTTTACTGCCATCTAGTCTTCTCTCAGCTCTCTAATGCTGTTATCTAAAACGTCAGTATGTCCTTTGCATCATAGATACTGATGGCAATGGTTACATCAGCTGCAATGAGTTGAATGATTTGTTCAAGGCTGCCTGCTTGCCTCTGCCTGGTTACAGAATAAGAGAAATTACAGAAAACCTTATGGCTACGGGCGATCTGGACAAAGATGGGAGGATCAGCTTTGATGAATTTATCAAGGTGAGTATGATACAAAATGATACAAGGAGACACATTTGAACTTGGAACCTGTATTCAGTTTCTAAAAAATATTCAGAAAAAAAAAAATTTCCACCCACTCCAGATGGGTGTTTCAACAGTAGATACTCTTTTCTTCATGGTTTTCTTGATCACAACTTGGGTTTCTAAGGGCACATTATATTTTTGCAGGTTTTTCGTGGGCTAAAAAGCACAGATGTTGCCAAGACCTTTAGAAAAGCAATCAATAAGAAGGAAGGGATTTGTGCGATTGGTGGCACCTCGGAGCAGTCTAGTGTTGGCACCCAGCATTCCTACTCAGGTAGGTCGGCCTAATGGAAGGAAAGCAGAGATAGAGAAAGTATTAGGATGAAGAGAGAGCTGAGGAAGAGGGAGAAGGGAAGGTATAGAAAAGACTCCTGCCTTCCAGGGTTACAGATTCTAAACTTGATACTCAAACCTAAGGAAGATCAGCAAAGACAGACATGAACTCAGGTCTACTGACTACTACTTATTCTCTTGGGTATAAGTGGGCCAGTTCCAGGTATAGACTTTTCCAACCTGTAGATAGAAGCAGTCCTAGCTCCAGGTAGGGTCTGCTACTACATAATACCGCCAGCATTAAAAAAAAAAAAAAATTAAAGACTGCCAAAATTCCTTTGTAAATCTTTTAGACAAAATTAGCTATTTGGGCTTTTGCCTCTAAATTTCATAATTATTCTCAATGCCTGGTGAGTAGCCAAAATACATGTTTTTATATTAGGAAAGTGTTTTCTGTATAAGTTTGAAAAAAGTTGTGTGTTTATTTGGAAGGCTGCCATCCTACAGCCTTAGCAGAAACTTCTAGCAGCTCAAACAGTACCATAATCCAACCTTTCCCAAACTGAGTTTTCAAAATATTGGTTGACCTTAAAGATGAGTTCCATGGTTAAATACTGTCTGTAATTGCTGAGACAAAGTTAAGCCTTTTATTTTGAAATACATGATTTTCAGAACCTTTGTTATGTAAATGTGCATTTTGAATCTTCAGAACACTAATATGCTATGTGATATTTCCCCAACTTTGCTGACTCGAGATTCTTTTAAGGGGATACTATGAGTTTTCAACACACACAATTTGGGAAACACAGTCCTTGTCTATAACGTATAGCTTGAGGTTTTATTAAAATTTCTAAAGTCAACTTCTGACAGTTTGCAATTTCATTTTAATTATATAATTAAATAACATACTTCCTGTATGTTTTATTTCTTGGAG